GGAGTTGGAAGGCGGGGGAGGTGCCTACGGTTTTTAGCGGGTGGTTTCTTCTTAATTGTTCCCATCCGGCTTGCCGGACAAGTCAGTCGTAGTCGAAACCTGGTATTGAAATGCTCTACCCAGAGCCATGCAAAGAATTCAAAAGGCGGACGCACCCATTTATGGCTGGGATTGTCCCGTACTACCCTCCAACTACTCAGTGACTCAAGTGGGAGCCCGGAGCCCAATCATAGTGGGCTTCTCTTGGCAACCAACCCACTTCTGAGAACGGTTGCCAATTCCAAACAAAAAAAGACCCATCTCGCACCATAAGTTGAAGACTTGCTTGTTGGTTCCTTTGGAAACTGGACAAAACCGCGCGAGCCGCAGTATTTGGTGATGAGCGGACCCTGCGGGGGCTTCTCACGGGGACGTGGGGTTGTGTGGTTTTCGTGTTCATCGTCATCTTCTGGCCAAAACCAGGAGCGAGGGCTGCCTCAAAGTTTTGCGGATCGTGCGAAATGCGAAAGGCGAAAGGCGAACGAGTAGACGGTTTTGGGGGGCCACATGGCAGGTGGACCAACCATCAGTCAATCACAACAAGCGCCTAGGTCCCTTGGAAAACCTACCACAGCTCCGAGTGAGGTGCAATGATTCTGACGGCCAGATGGACGGTCCAACAAATGGACGGTCCAACTTCGATCCCCAATCACAAAATGCAAGGTGCTCTGCTCAAATGCTAATCGCAAACGGTCCCAAAACAAGTTACGACGACATCTCAAGATTGCAGCAAATTTGGAAGAGGATCCCCCCCCGAGTGGCTGAACTACATAAATCCCAAATGATCTCCAGAGCGTCCCCAACCGATTCAAACTCGCACCCATTTCGATGATCGAGATCTCCATCCGCCCGCCTTGCGACGAACGCATCGACGGCGGCCTCACCTTTTGCTCTCGTGCCTGCAATAAGCTCTGAGGTGGCCCATGGAAATTACCACTCCGTCCGGCGTTGTGGCCATGAACAACGTCTACGAACTTCACTACTTAAAGACTCGGTAGGTCAGGTAGGTGGTTAGTAACCATGGTTATAACCCACAAAGGCAATGGTAAGTCTCCTAAGTAAGTTATAATCAGGCTTACGAACCACTTCCTAAGCACCCGATCGCCCTTAAGAATGCCAACAAAAAGACACACATGACACACCAAGACAAGGTACAACCAGTTTGCCAACTCACCAAGCTTGCAACGTGCTTCAGGCAACTTTAAAGTGACTTGCGTCACAATCAAAACCTGGTACTAAAGTGGTCTACCCAGAAAAGACTTAACAAACTGCGGCGAGGCAATGATTTGTGGTTGGGATTGTCCCTTAAGCTTCATCTACCCGGATTGAGCAAGTGGATCACGTTCTCTTCGCTCGCGGATTCGCCTGCCGCTCCATGCGCTCCACGTTCGGCTTCCGCTGCCTCGACCCAAACGCCAAACTGTCGTGTCGCCCATGGGGGGGGGGGGGCGCGACATCCCAACAAAACATCCTGGACCCGAAAGAACTACCCATTTTAAAAAAAAGTTGGAATTCACCAAAAAGCACCCTCCAAGGGTGGTCCATTTGTACCCAAATTGGCTCACACAAAAACGCTGTTGCAAATGGACCTTGGAGGGTGCTGGAACCATGATGTTGGGTTGCTATAACCCATTATCAAGATGATGCAAGTTAGACCTCCAAGTTGGGTTTCTGAGAACAACCTAGGCTTGGAGCTGAAAACAACGGGACACACACACACTGTCTATAGCGAGTGGTGCCGGAAGATCTAGCGGGAAAACTCGCGACTGTGAACGGGGGATCTGAACTTCGGGGTTTCCTTCACTTAGGTCTGGCTTTGGCTGATTTGAGCGTGGATTCCTACGTTTCTCTGCCCAGAACAGAGGTCAAAGGGCCAAAACAGATCTGCGGCTGTCAAGGGAAACCATGGGTGTTTCCCAAAACAATGGCGTTTGTTCTTTTGTGACACGCCTCTAGCCCCAGTCCAGAACCAATTCGCAGTCCCGGCTTGCACGAGATCATTCCCGATGACTTCCGGATCACCAAAATGCCTCGCCTGAAAAAGGACCAAACAAAAGCCGGCCGTTTGTTTCTTCATCATCTCGGCACATTCTCGGAAACCCCTCAACTCCAAAAGAACCCCCAATCCTTGGGCAACCCCCTCCAGCCCCAAAAGCAAGCTGAACTCGATCCCAGTGGGCTCATTTCGACCCATCCCATCCCCTCCAAAACCAAAATGGACAAGGAAAGCAAAGCTAGACATTCCTGGGGCCCATTTCCCGGGTCCCTGGGGCCCATTTCCTGGGGCCCACTCCCTTCATCTCGACCCTTCGACCCATCCCAAGTCTGCTGGAGCCTGACACTGGCCAGCGCATCGCCTTCGGACTCGGACTGCCCCGGCGCCGTGCTCGCGGAGTCCACGTGCGCCATGGCGCAGAGCCCCCACTTGAAAAAATAAAATGGCGGCCTCGAAAGGTTTCGCGGGAAAGGGCGCCAGATACGCCTCTGTAACAAGGGAATTTCGAGTTCAGGCATTTGTTTACAGGGTGTGCTCCATGTGCTCCATGTGTATTGTGTTCATTGCGGCAACCTAGGCCAGGTAAAGTGGATGCAATGCGGAGTTTACAGTAACTTAAGCGAAGCAGAACAAAAGATGTAGGGTACGCATGATGCAAAGTGTTTTCCATAGCCACATCCACTTAAACTGTGTCTGGGTGGAGAGCTGATTGGACACACTAAAGCGTCGTCATGATCATGTTGCTTACAGCTGTGAACGGCTTTGGCCGCTCACAATACAACACGGAGAAACTACCAGCCATCTCTGCCATTGCCTTAACCAAGTCGCCAATATGTTCATCGTTGAGCTTCCAGAAACCGCCGCCGGGAAGGATTTGTTAGAGCTGGGGTCTGCTTCCAGCTTGAGCCGGGGCGGAGGGTAGATGAGCGAAATCGAAATTATAGTCAGCAACGCCAGGGAGATCAAAAGCAAGCCCCTGAACAGGATGCCCTCCGTTTTTCCCAAATCAATGACACTGCCAAACACAAACTCAACTCAAGTTGGCCCAGGTGTGGACAAATCTGAAGATCCACCAATAGTCCCGCTGGGATCACAACTTATGGTTTCTCCAACAAGAACAAATTGGAACGAAACTAAAACACAATGCTGTGGATGGACGAAATCCATTTTGAAACCACGGGAAACCATTGTTGGTTGGTATTTACAGGGGAATCATCATAGGGATTCTTAGGTGATGCGATGCAGGATTTCGCAGCCATCCACAGGTCTGCCGGTTCCTTTTGGCTGGCAAAGCCGTCCAAAATTGTGACCCCCCGAAGAAAAAACCAGAAAAAACAAACATGGCTTTTCATGTTCTACTTGAACAAAATGCCCCAAACATGTTGCCCGATTCAAAAATTTCGCTCTCCGGGTTTAGCCCATCCCTATGAGGAAAGTGTCACGGTTTGTTGAGCTCCTGAGATGGCGTTTGCGTGAGCACGGAGCTGGTTCGTTTGGGACCCTCTTGGGCTTCGTCCCTTCCCCGGATCAAAAGCCTACCGGCCTAGTCCACAAAAGTCACCCCAAAGTGATGAATAAGTCGCCAGGTTCTGCCTTCTCCCAAGGCGGGGCCTTTTCTTTGCGAGCAAAAAGCAGTTCATGACCAAAGCCATTCTGTGTATCACAATTGCGGAACACCAAAATAAATGTTCATCCTAAACCCCTTGACACCCCTCAACTCCTAAACCCCCCAAAAAACCAACAACCCCCTTATTCAACCCTGCTTGGCCTTCTTTACCCACCCCCAAAATGGCCAAAACTCCCAGGCCGAAAATACTGTAGATGGACAAAATCCTACACCACTTTGAAGCCATCGGAATCCATTGTTCGTTGGCATTTACAGTGGAATCACCATTCCAGGGTTTCTTAGGTGGTGCAGGATTTCGTCCATCCACAGTAGGTCCTGCCCTCCTCAAACACAGAAAAAGCCAGCCACTGCCGACGGCCCCTTGGATCCAAGTCGCCACCAGCTCCTGCTCTGTGAGCGCCTCACCAGAAAAAAAAAACCCGCGAGCCCCGCTCGCGGGGGGGGGGGGGAAATGCCGGCGCCGGCCGTGGGAATAGTTCCATGTGTGTGTGTGTGTGGTATTTTAAGGGTTCGCCTTGTTCCTTCATTCTTTTCGAGGGGTTATTGGCAAACCAAAGGAAAGCCACGCATGGGGGCTTCTGATCCTATATGTTGGCACATACTTATTAAGCTGTGGCTTTAAAGTACCCACACTTGAGCCACACATGTACTGCCTGCATTTGGCACCCCGAACTGGGGGATTCCCCTCTTGTGCTTATGTGCTTACGTATCTTCATGTCTGTATGAGCGTATGCAATGCAGGCATGTATGCATGCCTGCATACATGTACGTAGACATGTACGTACGTACGTATGTGTGTGTGTATGCGTGCATGTATGTATGTACGTGCGTACGTACGTATGTAAGCATGTCTGTGTGTATGCATGCATGCATGTATGTATGTATGTATGTTCGTATGCACCCATGTATGCATGTATGCATGTCCGTCTGTACGTATGTACGCTGCACGTAGGTAGGTATGTACGCATGTACGATACGTATGTATGTATGTACGCATGTGTTTAAGTACATCTGCAAGCATGCATGCATGTGTGAAGGTATGTACTTGCGCACATTATATAAAAATGAGAAAGAAAGAAAGAAAGAAAGAAAGAAAGAAAGAAAGAAAGAAAGAAAGAAAGAAAGAAAGAAAGAAAGAAAGAAAGAAAGAAAGAAAGAAAGAAAGAAAGAAAGAAAGAAAGACAAAAAGAAAGGAAGTAATATATAATGAAATATAGATAGATAGATAGATTGATAGATTTAGATAGATAGATTTAGATAGATAGATAGATAGATAGATAGATAGATGGATACCTGGATTGATAGATCGATAGATACAAATCCGCCGACCCTCTGCCTCCCGTCCCAGCCTCCTGCAGAGGGGACCGGCGTGGGATGCAACTGGAAGTGATTGGAATCAATGATAGTCCCTGGGGGACACGCCCGAACACACGAAAAGTGGATTTCTAGGACGGTCCCAAGGTCCTGGGACCCAGGACCGGTCCTGGAACTGGTCCTGGGACCCTGGTTCTGCTGTCTCAGATTACTTGTAGTCAGCCGGGAGCGGTCCCAGGACCGGCCCGGGACCAGTCCCAGAACTGGTACCAGTTGTGGGACCGGTCCTGGGACTGGTCCCAGGACCAGTCCAGGACCGGGGTTTGGTCCTGGGACCAGTCCCAGCACCGGTCCTGGGACCGGTCCTGGGACTTTAGCACTTTCAGGACTGAAGCCGGTCCGGGATGGAGTCCTGCCACCTCAAACCGCTCCAGACGCCTTTCCGGACTGGCACCCGTGTTTCAGGACACTGCGCCAGACTGGGACCAGCCTGTCCCGGTCCCTGCCGGCGACCGGTCCAGGGCAACTTCGGGAGGGTTTCAGGGCGCTCCCGGGCCAACTCGAAGTGACTTTGGGCGCAAGCCGGCCCAAGCGGTAATTAACGGACTAGCTGCCATATTTCTGACTTTTCCGTTAATCCTTGTTTGTGGTCGTAGAGGATCTTAGAAGTGGTCCCTGGGTTTGCGGACGTGTTTCAGGACCGGTCCTTGTGACTTTTCCCTTAATGCGCCGAGGGTCGGCGGCAGCAGGCGGGAGCCTGGTTAATCCGGCCACCGGACGTGATCGGGCCGCAGGCCAAAGCCCGGTAGGGCTTACCTTCAGGTATAAGGCCGTGCGCCCCATGCCGCCGACCATGAGCGGACCATGAAGGTAAGGTTTTGCGCTGGGCCCGCCCTTATAAGGGGCGAAGGATTTGCGGATTGGTTTCGGCGATTTTTGTAGCATCTCCCCGCGGCGTCCAAAAACGAGCGTTTTTAGGGGGTGCCTAATACTGGACAACACCCCCAGCATTGCCAGCATCATCCCGGATGATGCTGATGATGTTATGCATGCTGGCGATGCGGGGATGCTGGTGATGGTGTCCCCTAAGTCGTGCCAATTTTGCCGAAAACGTGCAACCTGAAAATCTAAAGTGGATGGAAATGGATGGAAAATGGCCTGGATTGAAATCTCAAAATCCTAAAGTCTTAGATTCTTAAAATCTTAAATTAAAATCTAACAATCAATCTTAGAATCTCAAGATCTTAAAATCTTAGAACTTAGAATCTTAAAATCTAAAAATATAAAAACTTCCTAAAGTCTTCGAATCTTGAAATCTTAAAAACCTTATGTCTTAGAATCTTGAGATCTTAAACTCTTAAAATATGAAATCTTAGAACCTTAATTCTTAAACCATTGAAACCTTAAATTCTGAAAGTCTTCAAATTTGAGACCCTTAGAATCTCAAAGTTTTTAGAATTTTGAAATCTTAACATCTACTCATCGGACTTACAGGAAAGGGAAGTGACAGAAACCCTCATGTGTTTGAATCTGCAGATGTTAAAATCTTAAAATATGAAATTCCTAAATTCTCAAAATCTTAAAATCTCAGAATCTTAAAAGCTTCAAAAACTTAAATTCTTTAAATTTCGAACTATTGCAGTCTGAAAATCTTAAATTCATAAACAAGTAAAATATAATAAAATTCCTTCAATACGGGCTATATTATTCTAAATTCCTTAAACTCTTAATCTTCAAATTTTGAAGTCTTGACATCTTAAGATCTTAAAATCTTAAATTCCGAAAGTCGCCAAATCTGAAAATCTCACAAAAATAGAATCTTCAAGCCTTCGAAATCTGATAATGGATGGTAAATGGCTGGGCAATGGCTTGGCTGTTATAACCTTCAAAAGCCTTAAATCTTCGAATCTTAAAACCTTAATTCTTCAACCATTGAAACCTTAAATTCCGAAAGTCTTCAAATCTGAGACCCTTAGAATCTCAAAGTTTTTATAATTTTGAAATCTTAACATCTACTCATCGGACTTACAGGAAAGGGAAGTGACAGAAACCCTCATGTCTTTGAATCTTCAGATGTTAAAATCTTACAATATGAAACTCCTAAATTCTCAAAATCTTAAAATCTCAGAATCTAAAAAGCTTCAAAAACTTAAATTCTTTAAATCTCGAACTATTGCAATCTGAAAATCTTAAATTCATAAACAAGTAAAATATAATAAAATTCCTTCAATCCGGGCAATATTCTAAATTCCTTAACCTCTTAATCTTCAAATTTTGAAGTCTTGACATCTTAAGATCTTAAAATCTTAAATTCCGAAAGTCGCCAAATCTGAAAATCTCACAAAAAATACAATCTTAAAGCCTTGGATGGAAAATGGCTGGGCAATGGCCTGGCTGTTATAACCTTCAAAAGCCTTAAATCTTTGAATCTTAAAACCTTAATTCTTCAACCATTGAAACCTTAAATTCCGAAAGTCTTCAATCTGAGACCCTTAGAATCTCAAAGTTTTTAGAATTTTAAGAT